CATGTGCAGTGCCGATTGCTTACCATCAGGTAATCCGTCTGCTCTATTTATTTGATTATGCATTTTAAACAAATTATTGCATCGACCATATTATTATTCTCACTGCATCACCCAAGGGTTTGGCTAGCGATAATGCTTGGCTTAAACCCGCCAATGTGCTTTGTGCCTAAAATAAAATAATTAAAAAGTTGTATAATATACAAATTTAAAAAGAGAACGAAATTTTTATGATATATATTAACTTTTTCTATGTCTATTTTTTAATAAATTTATCGAAGTAATTTTTATACGAAATTGATGATATAGGTAGGCCTTAAGTATAAATCTACCTTTTTTGGAACTTCTGATTAGATTGTCTATTGTTTTGTCTCTGAGTATGATTGCCATATGCACCAAACGAGTAAATAATTTGTTTTGTCTACATACTTATTACATTACGTTTATCTAGCAAATCTAGCGACTTCTGCAATTTGGTGTAAAAAAAAATTATCCTTGAATTTTGCACTCAAGTAAATATGACAAATGTTGGCAAAAGAATCGTGTAACTCAGCTTAACTTAATAATTATTTCAGTGGATAAGGCACCTGCCACCATTCATACATGAGGCACCCTAGAAACCTGCCAAGTATGAATGTGACTTTTTCCGCGTTAAATGTAAACTCTCTGAGATTATTAAGCCAACACTGACTTTCGGTGAAGGAAAACAACGTAAGGAAATCTGTTCCTAGTTTAATATCGCCAATCCATCTCAAGCACGTCCAGTGATTAACCTTTTTCCGTGCGAGAAAAGGTCTCTACTTAGCATGGCATTTATAGGCTGAAGATGACCATCCATGCAGGTTCCAAACCTGCGCCCTCATGCCCGATAAGCGAATGCCGTAACATCACTCTAGGCCACCGCGACACTCTTTACGTATGTACAATAATAACTTAATATATTACTAAACATAACATATCATATCCACAATGTAGACATAATATTCACAATCAGGAAGTTCATATGACCCTTAAAAACGTTAAAAACAGATTATAATAAAGTATTATTAGAAGTTACATTGTCTATGCGTAGTGGCCAGAGATAAGGGATTGACATACTCCAATTATCTTTCTAGAATTGTACGGATAATATCTTAAGATAAGTGCTAATAGTTGACCCAAAATATCTTAATAAATATGTTGATATAAATCAACATCATCGCGCTACATTCTCGTAGGGTTTCAAAAGAATTGGTATTATCATTTCCCCACCTTCCAATGGAGATCGGGTGTGAGATAGAAGTTCTAATCTGATATGAATTATTGATATTATTTTCTAAAATTTGGTTATGCAACATTTATAAATTATTAAAAAAACGTGTTAGGTATCAAAAAACTCAAAACCAACGTGTTTTGGACTAGGTCACAGCACGTTCAATCCCATTCAGAAAAGTAATAGAATAATTTAAAAAGAACAAGTTTTAATATGCATTTAAATTAACAATATCGCCAAAATAGAAAGTGAGATGAATATTAAATCAATTTATCAAAATATTCGAAAAAAAAATATAATCGATAAAAAAATCGAATACGTATCGTGATGTGCGTCACTGCGATTTAATTTCACAGTTTATATTATCTGTGACTGGTTTTTTGACATAGGTATGACGTAGCCATAATTATATAAGTTGTTTTGATTGATTTCCTGTAATTATATACAAATACGTAGTTATTGAAAATTTAGGTAGGTGCACCTTTAAAATATAGGTAACCATTAGGTTTATAGTACCTATTCAAAGTTTTTTTTTTATTAGGGGAAAATAATCAATTTACTTCAGGGTGAAGTTACAGGAAATGCCAGACTCTTACTCTGACTAAAAACACCCCCGTTCTTAAACACCGCGGTGCCTCATTGCGCCTACCCCATAACCCCGGCTAATAGTATTCAAGATACATATTTATTCATATACATTTTTTCATCAAATTATCTAAGAAATTCGTAGTTTAAAGCTTATTGAAATAAGAATCGAAGAAACCACTTAGTGACTTTTTGTACTCTCTAAGATTATTTAGGCAACACTGATAAACAGTAATGGGAAACATCGTGAGGAAAACTAGAATTTCTGAATGTAACTCCCGCCATTAGTATGCTTGGTGATTAATACTCAAACTTTCTTCGTGTAAGAAGAGGTGCTGTAAAGCGCTATGATGGAGGTACCGAAACCGGCTTGAAGCAGGAGAAGGTAGTGGTTTTAAGTCAGTTAGAAAATCCTTCTCCATCCACCCAAGAATGGGAAAAATGATTGAATCATTTTTCCCCCTTTAAAAAAGGCCGTCTGTAACCAGTATGTAGCTACGGGCTGATGATAATAAAGAAACATGTTAACATATATATAAAGAAACACATTTCGTTGGCGTTATTGTTAATTACACGAATATCTATCATAATTTAATCCACCTTATCTGTAAGAGCCTACCATCTTCGGATATTATTTAAAATGATGTGCCATTTTATTATTGTCTTCAACGAATAACTCCTATTCATTAGCTTTTAAGTAATTCTAATATTTTTCTGTAAGTATCTTTTCTGTTCTGTTCTTGTTAGCCAAGTAATGGTAAAAAGGTACGATTGGGCTGACAATTGCTAGATAAAAAAGAAGATCTATGTTGGATCGTTGCGTCACTTAAAACTTTATTCAATGCGAGTTCGATAGACGAGTCTAAAGCTACAGCTTTTCAAAAAAAAAAAATGTTTTGGTGTTGCCGTCAAGCTATCCGTCTGGTCGATTGCCGAGCTATCTCATAAAAAAGTGATTGAGCAACCAGCTACTGCGCAGGATACATTATCACACGAGGAACGGTTTCCTTGTTCAAATTAGAAACCATAACTTGTTCTATATTTGAAATGAGATAAAAAAAAACGAAGTACAAAACCAATTATAAAATTTATATTAAAACTTATATTTAAAAAAAAGTAGATAACTTGAAGATTTATATAAGACTAGTCTTGTAAGAATTTTTTTCGTTTTTTTCTTATTACTAAAACTTAGTAGGTAAAGAACACAACATAATATATCATCGTAACCTTTTAATATAAATTCGTAAAAACATTATTAAGTTAAGTAAAGGAAGTTTTTCAGTGAAAAAAACTTAATTACCTAACAATTTCCTGTCGTCAAAATTTGAGACTGGGTTTCGACCGGTTAGCTACTTCATTGCACAAAATAAATGTTAACAGGTAATATTTATCAATTTTTTTGTACTATTTTTTGTTTTTTTTGAAGAGTTACGAGTGCACTTTGAGGATTATGATTTCGGAGATTTAGAGACTGAAGAAAAATTGGGTCTGCGATAACCTCACTCACACGGCGAAACACAACGCTGTGGTTGTTTCACGCCCGTTACCTGTAAGGCCGTGGTATGTGTAAGGTCGAGCCAACCCATTCGTGCCGAAGTATGGCTCTCAAACACTAAGTATTCAAAGAAAACTAGTATTTAAAAGTCTTTTTTAAACGTTGCCCTTCACTAGCATTTTCTCCTGTGTCGTCGTCCTTCTCCGGTGCGTTGGCAAACATACAATTTCACATACACATCACACCAAGACCAACAATTTGTGGATCTTTGATTTACTACTCGTACAAAGAAATGGTTATCAGTAGCCATCTTTTTTTGAAATAAGTATTGCTATATAAATGTATAAATATTAATATTAAATACGTTCGTACTATTTTACAGAACCATAAATTAACTTGTGTGTAATTACACACAGACACAGAACGACTTAACTTTTTGTATCTGTTATCATTCGAGTCGATCCATAAAATTCAAATGTCATTTAACACTGAATTAACTTGTCCATCCATCTAGAACTAAAGGTGTAAAGTGATTTCGACTTATGACGTAAGTAAGTTACATTAACCTAAGTTAGTTATTAAGCTCACGTGTTTTAAACCAGTGTTCAAGCTTGAACTAAAAAATTACCGAGAGTTTATTTCAAATGACCGTTGTTTTTTTACATGATACCAGTACTTAATTGAAACTATTAGATGCTAAAAACGAGGTTTTTTTGCCAGAAAAAAATATTATCTGGCCAGATGTAAAATTTTATTTTCGTGAAAAAAAGTTTTGCAATGTCAATTAAATAGTGAATGATAGGTAATAAAGTTTTGTAACTAATGGAGTTTTATTATTACGAACACGTAAAATAATTTTGGCGTCGTATTTGAAAGAATTATAGAAATATGGCAGTTTCTTGCGGTGTTAAAATCATTTAATGACTTCCCTCGACGTTGATGGGTTGAGAAGGAGTGTCAGACTCTTAATGACTAAAAACCACCACGTTCCTGCCCTCACTCCGGTCCAGGACCGCATTACCTACATTACCTTTTAACAAAAAAATGGTATCTAATATGCAAAACCATATGGTAATTTTTTATACATTTACGTTCGAAATCAAAACTAGTTTGACTTCTAATCATAAGGTGTTGGATCATTGAGCGTCAATTTAATTTACGACAACAATCGTTGGATTCGTTGGCATTTTAGAGCAAATTTGCGGTCTTTTGAAGCGTAAATACACTATCCAACTAAAAAACTAATAGATCACGTCATACGTAACTTGAGAATATGAACACGACTGCTATTTTGTATTTTTTAAATGTTGCATACGTTATGTTTTGTTTCTGTGGGAAGAAAACAGAGTAAAGCGACAGGGAGTGTGTCTCTTACTGACTAAAAACCACCCTGTTCCTGTCTCTGCTCCAAGCCGAGGCTGCGGTACCTTGTTGCACTTGCCCTGCAGCCCGGACTGAACATAAGCCCTATAGGGCCCCGTCTGTGGTGGTCTATTGACTCTTCGAGGCGCGCGCAAAATGCTACGCTCCGTACGCTCGGGTCTGGTTCTGCTCGGGTGGCGATCTATCCTATTACTTGTCAATAATACCAATGGTATGTGCAGGGCAAGTTTTGGTCGACAAATTCGGAAAGGATTGATAACAAAAATAACAGTGCAAAGTGTCACTCACCCACGTAGTGACGATGTTCAATGGATTAATGGCGGCCATTATGATTCCTATTATCGCTAGCAGGATCCCATACGATAATCTGATGACGGAATCTGCAAAAAAAAAAAGAAATATCTTATTTCAAGAGTTCTTTCCATGTCGAAGAACCATGCATGGGCATGCTTGGACTTGAACAGAGTGATACCACGACCTTACAGAAAACCGGCGTAACATCCCGCTTGCGTCGTGTTCAAATATTCTTAAGGACTAGAAGATGTTTGCTTTTCTTATTATGTGATACAGCGTCAAATGAATGGACGGATTACCTGATGGTCAGCACTCGGCCCGTTGGCATACGCATCACCAAAGGAATTGTAGGTCTATTGCCAGCATTTTTGGGAAACGCAACGCTGCGCGCTGGTTGCTTAGCGCCAGTTTTCTGTGAGGCCGTGATTCAGTGTGGTTGAGCTGACCCTTTCTTGTTAAGGAATAGCTTTCCCTCAGTTCAAATTTCTTGGGTTAAGGGTGTCTACAAGCGGCTGTTGTTGCTTACCATCAGGTAATCCATCTGCATGTTTCCTAGGTACTGACTATCTTTAAAAAGAAGTTACTGTTTTGCCGAGAATCATTAGCAAACTAGCCAGGAAGGCAAAGAAACACATTTTTACAACAAAAAGCCAACATGTGAGCAAAAACGTGATTTTTAGTTTTGTGATATACAAATTAGTCTTTTTTCTATTTAAATAATACCGATCATATTAATCGTCAGTGGAAAAATATTTATTTTGATTATACGTTTTATTTAAATAGCAATAAAGTTCATAATATCTTGTTTTTATATTTTTTGTAAAGATGGAAATTTCAATTAAGAAGAAGAATGAGAAACTGTAATTAAGCTGTAACAAATCTTATGCTAAAACTTTTAGGGTCTAAAATGAAACTGCCAAATTGAATTGTAGCTTAATGCCTTTTCAATTCCATCACTAAGTCATTTTAATGATTTCTATTATTAAAGCATCAAAACCCAGGTAAAATAACTAGATTTTCTGAAAATTTTAATTGGCAAGGATGCTTAAATATTATTTTCGAAACTGCATTAATGATTTTCGCTTAGCAAAAAGCTGTCTAACAATCTTGATATTAAGAGATGTAATATAATGAGGTACTTACGTCGTTTTTGTACTGTGAAGTTTTGTATTTTCATAATAGATATGCGCCCCTTACTGGGGACTTGTTGTAGGGTGCCTACAACCATCTTTCAGGCTCTGAAACAAACAGAAAATATTTTAAATTATTAGAATACTTTAATCACGCGTTTACGCATAATAATAGTCGGTGTGCAAGTGTTTATGGCAGAAAATGGATTGAGGAAGCTAAATTATTACTTATTTTATTTTCCTGAAAATCACATGGAATATTTTTAAAGAAATATTAATTACGGTATTTTTTATAGGATGGTAATCTAGCTGATGGAATACCTAATGGTAAGCAATCGGCGCCACCTATGAACGCGTTACTACCAGAGGAGCTAGGTACAAATACGTATTCGGCCTTTTGTAGATTAGGGGTTGGGAGATTTAGGGAGGGGTGGAGGGAAGAATTGGGCCACCGGTAACCTCACTCAAATGGCGAAACACAACGTTTAAGATGTTTCATGCCGGCTTTCCATGAGAGCGAGGAGTCAAACCCACCCATTCGTACCGAAAATTGATATTTACACAAAAATTTGTAATTGTCGTTCGATGTTTGTTACTCTCACTTTAAAAATACTGACCGGTCTAACTGAAATTGGCAAAGAGATATATATAATATTATAGAATGGAAAACACATAGGCTACTTTTCACCCTGCAACTGTGAGAGACGTCGCATATCTACATACTTTTTAAAACTGGTCAGCAAAAACCTCTTACATTGTTAGCTAAGTTTTTACTGAGTATTACTCAGTAGATCACGTTGATAATCAGTTTAGGGGTTAAAAGATCATAATTATAAGTAAGAGGTGATCAACATTCAACGTTTATTATAATTATACTTCAGTTGTCATGTAAAATGGCTTCTCTGAATTCATATGACGCAAAGGATTATTATTTGTATTTGCTTGAGTGGTTAGTCATTTGGGTAGATTTTAGCTTGAGTGGTTCTGGTTTTGGCAAATGTTTGTTAAGTTTTATTTTGCACTGCCAAAATAGCCAAGCAATGAATTTGTCGTCGGCAAAGGACTGAAAATGCAACAACATGTACAAACTTTTAGACTTTTCGTTTTTGTCCGGTGAAAGTCATCAAATGACCTTTACTTGACTAAAAACTGTCAGACTCTTACTGGCTAAACCCCCCCCCCCCCCATTCCTTCTCTCCTGCTCTGACTCGAGGTCGCGGTGACTCATTGCGCTTATCCCGCAACCCCGGCTGAACAACAGCCCTATAGGGCTCCGTCTGTAGTGGTCTACTGGCTCATTGAGGCGCGCGCGAAGGGCTACATGCCGTCCGCTCGGGTCTGGTTCCGGTCGGGCGGCGAGCTATCCTTAAGACTGGGCTTGTATTTCGTCTTATAGGTTTTGATATCGCCAATCTGCCTTGAGCAAGCATGGTGATGAATGCTCAAACTTTCTCCGTGTTAGAAGAGGCTTTCGCACAGCAGTGGGCACTTATAGGCTGATGGTGGGATTTTTAATAACATCAATGGTGTTTCACTTTTCAATTGTGGTAATTGGAGATACAATAGAAAAACAATAGGTCCGCGAACGCTTAGGGTTTGATGAATTAAATAAATTAAACCTTATACAAAAACTAGAGGGTTGATTTTTCAATAACCCTAAACATATATCAAATCTACTATTATGCACGATGATATCATATACATATATCGTCATCATATACATAGTATGTTCAAATAATTTAATGTTTATTGTTAATGACGTTTGAAACGTCAAACAAAAGTAAACTATCCGTATGTTTGTTGACGCAGAATTCGAATTTTTTGCTTAAATTTTCAAGGAAATATATTTATTTGTATTTAAGATTGTTTAGTTTGGTTTTAGAGTTATTTTACTTCCTATTGCTACTACGTTAAGCTTGATTTGAGTTTACTTGTTTGGTGGCGATTTTTTCCGAAATAGCTAAGGCCATTTTGATGAATTTTGTTTTAGGGATAGTTATTCATATATTAATGTAAGTTACAGTCGACATTTTTTTTTCTATGTACAGGTTAATTATAAAGTTGCTACAAGCATATATTTAAAAATAATACTTAAAAGGAAATTCACAAGTTTTAAGGATATCAGGATAAAACAAAATCGTCATTAAGTTTTTACTTAAACAAAAAGTTTATCAAAGTTATGAGATGACATCTAAAGTTCACTTTAGAACTACGGACTGATCTCAAATATATGTATATCATATATTTATTATATATAAAATAATTACCTGAGATCACCTAAGAGTTTTTATCAATTCATTCTTTTTTCTATACCAGTCAAAAACGTATCTATTTTACTTGTATTGAATATATATCGCTATATAAATAAATACTTGCTTTTTTGTAAAAATAGATTAGCCTGTTTATCTGTCTGATCTTTACGTCTAAACTGCTTAATCGATTTGATAAAAATGAGTGAATTTTAATTGGAACTCTTTAAAGCATAAACATTGTTGATTTGTGAGGATATTACTGAGGGGAGTCAATTATATCAGTAATTGACATGTTTCTATAAATAAAGAAAAAGATAAATGATTTGTCTAATAATGGTAATTATCTCTCATAGAATATGTATATCCAGCTCTAAGAACTTTCTTGCTTGTTGTTCTTATTCGTGTGAACAAATAATTTCAAACGATCTTTGAAATAAAATAACTACTTAGGATTTGATTGCATATAAAGATGTAATTATTAATTAAAATATTGTTTCCTAGCTAAGCTGCTAGGTGATCTGTTGACCTATTGATACACTAGATGGGGAATATTAATAAAATCGCCTCTGTGTATTATTCTATATTGGAGTATTACCACTGAATTAATGCAAATAACACTTGGTCTATCAAAATGACAATTGCCTTATACTATTGCTGGTAACGAAACCATAGCTTGAATTTAAATCGGGCAACGCCATCTATCGAGCTATGAGACAACTCATTACAATAAAATATTATCTGAACTAAACATACATATTATTATATCTGATGATCTTGAACAAATATAAAAAGCAAAAACCAACACTATGTCAAGAAAACATTCATTTTTAAAACAAAATTGTTGTAATTATGATAATTTCGTACCTAAGAATTAAGTATATCCCTACGTATGTTACCAGATATAGTAGATATAGTTTTTGCTACATTTCCATAAAGTAAATAAGTATGTTGTGATAAATACATGTATGTAATAAATCAGATTGTAAATATATAATTTATACTTTTTATACATATGTAATAAGTCAAATATCAAGGGGTTACGGCAAAAAGTAATAATCCATAGTCCAATGACTTAAATGGATACAATATAAATGACTTTTCATGGGGGGAAGGGGATCCGTCGAATGACCTCTCCTATCCTAGATGACTAGAATATATTTGTACTTTAAAATATATCTTTTTGGATCTTGATGGTGAGCGATTGGTAATTGTCGATCAGGATTTCCGAAACGATGTGACTCTATTGGTGGATCCTTCTCCCCATCCATATCCTTAAGATTCGGGATGAGGGATGGGGAGGATTGTGTCTCGGATTACTTTACTCAAACAGAGTAATACAACCTAAGACATGACCTATTCTTTTTTTTAGAAGCATTTACCACGCCATACTAACATTTTCTCCTATGTCGTGGGTGTGTTTACAAACATAAATTTCACATATACAGCACATCCAAAACCGGAACAATAATTTGTGGATTTCACAAATAGTTGCTCCGGACCGGAATCGAACCCGCGACACGTTGCGCGGCAGCCAGCTGCCCAACCACCGCGCAAACCGTGCAGTCGAGTGGCGCAAAAAGTGCAGTATTCTTTCGTAACTACATTTAAAATCACACGTTAAACCTTTTTGACTTTAATTTTAAACTCTATATTGTCGTGAACTTATCTTTGAAATTTAAAAACAATGTTTTAAAAAAAAATAACAAAGAATAACTAGCGGAACTTTAAGTGACGTCTTCAAATACCAACAAAGGAAACGAAACATTGCCAAACAATTTTACACCTTATGCCGTACCCATAGAATATAAATAAGAGCACAAGTCCTGCTGAGCCTCAAAAACAAAACACTTCCATACTTCCGCTAACATAATGTTAACACGAAAAAGAACTAAGAAATAACATTAAAGTTATAATACGCAAACACAGTCAAACAAACAAATCTTATATATTTACTTAGATTCTGAGGTAACGGAAGAGAATTTATGATAAACTAACTAGCTTTTACCCGCCAATTCACACGCCTTTAATCATTTTTATATTCAAGTGTGAATTCTCACTGATTAAAAAAGAATAACCACAGATTTTCTTGCCCTTTCTTCTCCATAGGGATCTTTTTTTTGTGAGGGGAAAATCATCAAATGACTTCTCCCACCCAGGGCAGGGCGGGAGGGAGTGTCAGACTCTTACTGACTACAAACCCCCCGTTCCTTCTCCTACTTTTGGCTGAGGTCGCGGTGCCTCATTGCGCTTACCCCGCAACCCCGGCTGCTCCATCTATACTTTGGATCGAGCAAATAGCTTTACTGAAGGACAGGCCGACAGACTGACACGCATAAAGTTGAATCTTTTGATATTATCCTTTTTTGCCTGACTATCAAAAGTGCATGTTGATGTCTTTTGGAAATAAATGATTTTACTTTGACTACCTATGACTTTAGTGTGGGAGAGTCATGCTTTGGCACAAATGGGCTGGCTCAACCAAATGGCTACGGCCTCACAGAAAGCCGGCATCCAACAAGGTGTTGTTTCACTGTGGTTTTGTGGCTATCGGTAGCCTAATCCTTCCTCAAATCCTCAAATCCCTCATTCCTGAAAGTCACAGCAACGTTCTTTTAAATCCTCAATGTTGCAAGTGTCATCAGGCGGAGCAGATTGGTTTTGCTCGTTTGCCGATATATGTATAACAAGAAAAACGTTGTAACAATTTGAAGAAAATATTTTTTACCGTCGTTCTCAGTGTTTTATTTAGTAACTGATTTTTAACATAGTAACTAGCAATTTTATTGTTTTCATAACAAAAGCGTTGCTAAGAAATAGTTGAAATCCAAATCAATAATTTTGGATACATTTTGATCG